ACAGATTACAGTGGTGCCTCGCTTAACGATTACCTCATTAAACAATGAATCCGCTTGACGATGAGGTTTTTGGGATCGCAAAATGATGTTTTAATTGGCAAAATTTGCTTCCTGACGATCGGTTCCCTGCTTCGGGAACCAATTCTTCGCATTACGAAGATCAAAACAGCTGATTGTCAGATTCCAAAATGGCCGCCCGCTGTGTATAATGGCTCTCCGCTGTGCTTTCAATGCGTTTCAATGGGCTTTTTTATTTCGCTTGAAGAGGATTTCATTCTACAGCGATTTCTCTGGAACGGATTGTCCTCGTCAAGCGAGGCACCACTGTACAAAGTTAGACATGATAGAGTCACAAAGTTAGTGCACTGGTTATTATGCAAAAAATATAACTTGCCGGCCTCCAAAATCCCAAATTTTATTTTGCTGTGGTTTTAGACATCAGGTAGAGAAGGTGTCAGAAAATGAGGAAGTCAAGATTCCGGATCCAAATGGACAAACACCTTGAACGTAACACACCAGATATAGTAGTAATAGAATGAAGAAATGTCCAGATCATTGACATTGTAATTCCAGGGGATACCAGAGTTGAAAATAAAGAATTGGAAAACTAACAAAGTACATAGACCTGGCAATTGAAACATCTTGCCTCTGGAAGAAGCACACTTCAGTGGTCCCCGTAGTCATTGTAGTTTTGGGAACAATATCAAGAAATTACACACAGTACTATAAGCACTTAGGGGTTTACACAGTTTTGTTGCCAACGGTTTAGAGTAATGGCTGTGTGTTGCGTTATTTTGAGGGGACAGCACATTTACACTGTTATACAAGCTGTATACTCACTGCTTTACATTGTAGCCAAGTGTCATTTCTTCAGCGTTGTCACATGAAAAGATATACTAAAATACTGTATTTATGAAATGTGAGGGAGGTGTACTCACTTCTGTGATATACTGTACATTTGAGCTTTTGGATCCCATTTGATATATTCAAAACTTCTACTGATTCAGAAATCCTTCCTTACATGATGTTATCATATTCAGGCTTTCATTATATGTATTCCTTAAGACATCAAACATTTTGTTTAAAAGATTTTTCTGATTTTTATATGGATTACTTGAATGTTTAATTGGCTTCTCTCTATCATTGATAAAACCTTGTATTTTGAATTTGTACTCCTAACAGGCATTGTTTGAATACATTTTTCACCATGAGAATGATGTTAAGAATGTAAGTGATTTCATTTTTAACTTTTAAATATTTTTTGATTTCTCTGTTTTGCTGCAGACAACTCATGCCCAGTCAAATGCCATTCCAAAGGGTCTCCTGATCCTTAGAATAGCTTTGAGAAAGTATAATAGAAAATAGAGGTAGGAGAACCAGATTGAAATTCCACTCATCTGTGTTCAGAGTTGTCCCTTTGTATTCCTGTATCAAGCAGGGGGGTTGGACTTGATGGCCTTATAGGCTCCTTCCAACTTCACTATTCTAAGATTCTGTGATTCTATGAAGTTGTAGAATTCAAAATTAGAAATGTGTTGGCAGCTATTTCTGGAACAATTGCTGTGGGGAAGGTCTGTTTAATTTGGTTAACAGTAGAGATGGGCATGACCCTTAGCTTGGAGGTTCGTGTTGGTTCGTAAGCACAGCACCATAAGTGCCACACATTCCTCTCCCCCACCTCCCCAACTGGATTCCCCCACTCACCAACTGGTGTGCACTCCTCTCCTCTTTTTCGACCATTCATCCAATCCCTGGCAGGAGCCTGGGCTTCCCTACCCCACCTCCTTGGCTAATCACCCTCTCAGACAAGGAGGCGAGACAGGCAAGCCCATGCTCCTGCCAAGGACTGGATGAACAGCTGAAGATGAGGAGGAGAGGAACATATTCTAGCTGGTGAGTGGGGCATTAGCTGGGGAGGCAGGGGAAAGGAACGCACAGTACTTGTGGTGCCACACTTGCGAACTAGTATGGACCTTCGAACTGAGGTTCATGTCCTTCTCTAGTTAACAGTAAATAAGGCTTAAATGTTCATCACTAACAATAGATTTTTCAGGGTACAGATTTTAAGAGCTCTAGCTGAAAGTGGAGATGTAAATGCATTTTCTGTTTGGCCCTATGATGGTATGCAAATATACTTTTTAATGTATTTTCCACTTCATAAGAAACATCTGAAATGATAGATATTCCAGTTGTGGAATAGTAGATGGTATTATTATTTGGAGTATACCTAGATATTTATTAGTTTACAGCTTTTGATCTTTTGCCTACGAAGTAAAACAGCAGTGTGATATAATAATTATTATTGTGTGCTGTTAAGTCAATTCCGATATTTCTGATTTATGTTGACCCTTTACAGTGTCTTCTAGGTATACAGTACTCAGAACTGGTTTCCTGTCCCCTTCTTCTGAGTTTACTCTGGGACTATGCAACTTGACCAAATCTGCACAAGCTGGTTTTTCTCCCAGGGGGCTAGGAGGCACAGTAAGGGCATCCTACCCAACCCAACTCATTAAGCTATCCATCCAGCCTCATTGTTATATATATCAAACGTCAGAATTTCAAAGAGGTTTTCACATAACATAGTCAGTAAGTCATTGACAGGGATTCCCAGTGCCAATGCCCACAATTAATATTCTGTAAGAGTGTGTTTTCCTCACAATGATGACAGTGGTGCATAGCACAGACCTGAATTTCATGTGCCTCTTAATTGCTGGTGCTGAATGAAAATGTAGCTCCTAATTAATCATGCTTCTAGGCCACAGTGAAGGATGAAATATCTATAGTGAAATCTCAGGTGAATATGTGTAGTCTACCTACTGAAACATCAATAATTCAAGATATGCAGATGACAGCATCTTACCGGCAGAAAGCAGCTATGACTTGAAACAACTTTCCGTGAAAGTGAAAGAAGAAAGTGCCACAGCAGGACTGCACCTGAAGACAAAAATCATAACTACGGAAGGACTACACAACTTTAACATTGACAATGAAGAAACTGAAAAAATGAAAGATTTTGTATGCCTTGGTTCAGTCATCCATCCAAATGGAGACTTCAGCCAAGAAATCAGAAGATGACTGAGACTCAGAACTGCAGCAATGAAGGAACTAGAAGGGATCGTACAGTGTAAGGATGTGTCACTGGTGACCAAGACCATCTGCACTCTTGCATTTCTGATCACCATGTATGGGTGTGAAAGCTGGACAGTAAAAAATAGCTGACAATAAAAAACATACTGATTTGTTTAAAATATGGTGAGGACAGTAAAAAATAGCTGACAATAAAAAAAATACTGATTTGTTTAAAATAAGGTGATGGAGGACAACTTTGTAGATACCATGGTCTGCCAGAAAGATGAACAAGTGAGTCCTGGAGCAAGTCAAGCCTGAACTACCTCTGGATGCATAGATATCAGAAAGATGAACAAGTGAGTCCTGGAGCATGTCAAGCCTGAACTATCTCTGGATGCATAGATATTGAAACAGACTGTCCTGCTTTGGGCACATAATGAGAAGACAAAATCCTCTGGAAAAGACAATATTGGGAAAGGTTGAAGGCAGCAAGAAAAGAGGAAGACCAAATACAAGATGGATTAACTCCCTAAAGGAAGCCACAGGCTTGAGTTTGCAATAGCTGAGTAGGGTTGCTGAGGACAGACATTTTGGCGATCACTTATTGATAGGGTTGCCATAAAGTTGGAGGCAACTTGGTGCCCAATAATAATAATAAACACTTCCACTGTTCATGGTAGTCTTGTTCACAGCTAGTCAAGGTTAAGTTAGAAATACTATGTATTAACAACATTTTTGGAAAGCTGCATAGAATTGCTGAAATGAGAGACTTTAGTTTGCACACCTAACAAAACAAAACAGCAACAACAGCAGCAGCAACTGTTCTTGAGTAAGAAAGAGCTCTTAAATACTTGCATAATATACTGCACAGTGTATCTAGAAATTTTATTGCACCCAGAAATAAATTCTGCTTCCTGTATTCCCAACTGTTGGAGCAGTACAACAATGGAACCAATTACCTCAGGAGTTAGTGAGTGCTCCAATTTTTGAGGCATTCAAGAGGAAATTGGACAACCATCTGTCAGCTATTCTTTGATGTGGATTCCTGCATTGAGCAATGGGCTGGACTTGATGGCCTTATAGGCTCCTTCAGTTATTCCGTGATTCTATGAAATATGCACTAACCTCTTGAGTCCATTTATACTCAAGTATCCAGGGAGACCCGATGGATTTTACGTTAAGCTACTTCTCTCCAATCAAAACTCCCTTATTACACGATCTGCAGCAAAATTTTGTGCAGCAGCAATGGCACAGCGCTCCTTATAGTCTCCTAAGGTCACAGGTTGATTGGTTTTAGTATGAGGGTGGTTTATTGTCGAGCATAGAGAAATTTTGTGGTCCCATCTGAAGAGACAAAATGTTTACACATGCTTACAAATATGTATGAAGGATTCTCTGTACCCCAAAGAGCCTCACCAAACCAGTTTGCCCTAGATGATCCAGTGGTTCAAAGGATGTCTACAAAAATGATGTAACTGTCCACATATACTATAACTAGTACACAACTAATTGTGTTGTACACTCTTTTATTTGTATTTTGTATATTTTAGCCATATAATATGTTTTGTGAGCTGGTCACTTGACCATAATAAATAAATACATACATACATGATTCTATGAAATAAAGGTTCTTCAGTGTCAGTAGTTGCTTTCACATACTTTAAGTATTTTTATGAAATGGTTTTATTTCTTCATTTTCCATTATGCGGGCAGACTGGTGCATTTTTGTGAGCATCAGTGTTCAATCCTGAAGTGTGACCTGATTTAACTAATGGTGATTAACTCTTAAGATGTGGAAGAGGCGTGTACTTGCACCTTAGCAATTGATTACGTAAATTAAAGGCTTGAGCTGGTCAGGCTTGAGATTTTTAAAATGCATTCATGAAACAAATCTGTCAATTCTATGAAAGCTTAAAATGAGCACTATTATGACTTTTTAAAAAACCTACTCTGTGTAATAGAAATTATGCAAAAACCAGTCTTTTTTCTCTTATGTGACATTTTCAGCTTTAATCTTATGGCTTTCCGCTATATCTTGCTAATGCTTAACAGTATATACTTCATTTTTAAAATGAAGCTGTTTTTCTCCCTAAGGCTTTAGATTTGGCAGCGTATGCTACACAACATGCCCAGTTCAAGGACTGGTGGTGGAAGGTACAAATTGGCAAATGTTACTACAGGTAAAATATCTTGGCATTTTTAGACTCAAGGGTTTAATCCCGTGTAGAGTAGGATAATGCCTGTCATCACAGGGATCCTCCGTAGGGTGTAAAAGACCTGTGTTCCCCACATATTATTGAAGAAGAACATAAACAGGACTTTGAGGCTTGTGTATGCCTGTATTATTCCCATGTGTTTACTCCTGCCCAAACTGAAAGGGTTTTCTGTAATTTCTGTCATTCTAGCACTCAAACTACATATGCATGCTTATCAATAATTTGTTAACAGGTATACACTTTACAGATCTTTAATCAAAACCTATAGAGAGAGAGAGAGGCAACTGGTTGTTTTTGAGGCTCCAAAGACTAAGACTGGGAAACAGAACTTTGAATTGGATATGGGACTGAACCTTTCCAAATCATGCTGAAGTAACTAAACAGGGAGAATCTTAAATCAGATTTAAATTAAGAAAGGGACACAGTAGCAGAATTAAAGAACAGCTTGTACTGTTCCCAATTTTTGAAAAGTAACATTGTTCAAAGCTGGCAAAATACTTGCAAGCACTGCTGTTGTCATAGAATTTGATAAGCCTGTGACCTAAAGTTATATCATTGGGCAAAGAAAGTGAATCTGCAGAGATATCTCTGAGATAGATGATTATATTAAAAGGCACAAATATTGCAGAAATGCAGGGCAGTTAGAAATCATAAAAAGCTCTTAATTACACCAGCCAGAATTTTACTGGTTGTTTCCACTGGTGGAACTGTGTGGAAAACAATGGGCCACAGATTTGAAACACCCAATATACCTCCCAATCCCTAAGAAAGTAGATGCCAAGGAATGCACTAAGTATAGGCTTTGGTTTCCTATGCAAGGAAAGCGATGCTTCTGGTGTTGCATCTTTAACGTTGACAATGAAGAAACTGAAATGGTTAGAACTGTTTTATATTTTGGTTCAGAAATCAGAAGACTGAGAATAGGAAGGGCAGCAATGGAGGAATTACAAAATATTATCAAGTGTAAGAATGTGGCACTGGAGACCAAGACTAATATCTTGTATGGATGTGAAAGTTGGACAGTTGTATGGGCGTGAAAGCTGGACAGTTGTAGGGGTGCGAAAGCTGATCTTTTATGGGTGTGAAAGGTGGACAGTTTGTTTGTTTATTAGATATTTACCCTGCCCCTCTAGATTCGGGGCGGCTTACATAGATAAAAACACAACAGTATAACATGTATAAAATCATGCGAAGTACAGTTATAACAATTAGTTCCAAACAACATATTACCAAGATGGCATGACTCAAGGAGAAAAGAAAAAAATATAGAAATCACTTAATTGACTGGCGGGAAGGCCTGCTTGAATAGCCAAATTTTTAACTGGCTTTTGAAAACACCCAACGAGGGTGCAAGCCGAATTTCAGTTGGGAGGGTGTTCCACAGCCGAGGGGCCACTGCCGAGAAGGCCCGGTTTCTTGTTTTTTCCTTCCGTGCCTCCCTCGGCGTCAGGCCCCTCAGCCATCCCTGCTGGCTATGTTGGGTGATTCGGGTAGATCTAGGTGGAAGAAGACGATCTGCCAAATATTGAGGTCCCAAACCGTTTAGGGCTTTGTATGCAATCATTAGCACCTTGAAATCAATGCGGAAATGGATGGGCAACCAGTGCAAGGCAGCCAGAGTGGGGGATATATGCTGATATTTTCTCACCCCACTAAGATGCCTGGCTGCCGCATTCTGGACCACCTGAAATTTCCGCATCAACCTCAAAGGCAGCCCCACGGAAAGTGCATTACAATGGTCTAATCTTGAGATTATGAGCGCATAGACTAGAGTAGTGAGCGCCCCCCATCAAGATATGGTCACAGCTGAGCAATCCACCATAGATGAAAATAGGCGGAATGGACCACGGACACCACCTGGGTTTCTATGGTGTCAGGTCCAGATGTATTCCCAAGCTGCAGACCTCACTCTTTGTAGTAAGGGTAGTCCCCTCAAAAGAAAGGGAGTCACCTATACGGCTAATGGAAGGGCCACCCACCCTCAAGACCTCCAGCTTGTCCAGGTGCAGCCTCAACCCATTCAGCTGCATCCATTGCAGTACAGTCTCCAGGCAGCGCTGAAGGGACAGAATGGCATCCACTGAGGTAGGTGAAAAGGAGATGTAGAGCTGTGTGTCATCAGCGTACTGATGGCACGATGCCCCACACCCCCTGATGACCTCACCCAGCGGCCTCATACAGATATTAAACAGCATTGGAGAGATGATCGACCCCTGTGGAACCCCACAATTGAGGCTCCACGAGGCCGAGACACTCTCCCCAAGCTGCCCTCTCTGGGGACAGCCCTCCAAGAAGGAACGGAGCCAGGCAAGTGCTAGGCCACCAATTCCCAACTCAGTTGTATGGGCATGAAACCTGGACAGTTGTAGGGGGCGTGAAAGCTGGACAGCTGTATGGGTATGAATCCTGATCTTGTATGGGCGTGAAAGCTGGACAGTTAAGAAAGCTGACAGAGAAAAAATGATTTGTTTGAAATATGGTGCTGGAAGAGATCTTTGTGGTTACCCTGGACTGCCAGAAAGACAGTTAATTGTGTCCCAAATCAAAACAATCCTGAACTATCACTAGAGGCCAAAATGTTAAAACTGAGGCCAACCTACTTTCAGAGCAGGATTCTCTGAAAAATACGGTAATAGGACACATCATGAGAGGGCAGGATTCTCTGAAAAAGACTATAATACTGTGAAAGGTGGAACGCAGCAGGAAAGAAGAAACCAAATATGAGATGGACTGACTTCCTAAAGAAAATCATAGTCTTCAGTTTACATGAGCTGATCAGGACAGTTGAGGACAGGACATTTTTTGAGATTGCTTATTCATGGAGTCACCATAAATCGGAGGCGACTTGACAGCACAAAACAACAACAAACTGTCATGGTGTATTGCAGTGGCAAATTTGCCACTAATTAAGAAGTGGCTATTTATATTCCTTGTCATGCACCAGAACATGTGTATGGCTTGGGCAAGGAATACTAGTGATAATTTTACTATCGTAATTCACACCATCGCATATACATAGGCAAAACTAGCAGGAGTCTGCAAAGTGTGCTACTTGTATACTGTCCTGTCCTCAACTGCCCCATCATGCTTAAAGTACTCTCTGTCTGGTTTATAAGTTAATTATGCAGTCTACATATTGCTCCCCAGGGAGCTGGATACTCCGCTCTTTGCTAATTATTAGTTCTTCTGACATTACAATAATATTGAACCTTATACAGTTATCTTTCCATCCTTTATTTTTGAAAAGCTTTCTGAGAGTTGTTAAAACACATGGTGCTAGAAGAGACCTACTCAACTTCTTTGAATTTTCATTAATAATCCTGCAGCAAAATGAGGTGGGGTGAGGTCGTGTTTAACATACCTTGTGATTAATTAATTTCTATGCAGATATGCTGCGGTAAATATGAAGGTGGAAATTAGCGTTGAGTTTGTGTGACTATTAAAATGAGAAAAGATCCCTTTATTCAAGCATCAATGATAAATTACTAGAATTAGTAACTTCAGAGTTTAGCCAATATAGCCAATATACTACATTTCTGGTGTTTTCATGTAAACATCATTAATGCCACCGTTAGGAGGAGTAGTTCTATGACATTTCACATTTTCTCTGCCACCTTTCTCATCAGATTACTCATAAACATGTTCAAACCCACCCACAAGTTCAAACATAGGTTGCAGAAAAAAATATGACGTCATAGAATTCCGCCCCCTAATCATTGTTACTACCAAATCCTATTTAGTACCATTGAAATGAGTAAGAATTTATCAAGGTAAGTGATCTGTAATTGTCCATCTTAGAAGGTTTTCCAAGTTGAATGTATTATTAAGTTTATAAGGCACAAATAGTTTTAGTCAACTTTAAATCATTTAGTGAGTTTTGGGCAAAACCAGAAAATATTTTCATGTCTGCTGCTCTTTTAGGGAAAATTGCAGTTTTAATTTCTAAAATATTCTTCCAGTTTTTCTCTACTTTTTCGGTTTTGATATATGTTTCATTATGTCTTGCTTCAGGTTAGGACTATATCGTGAAGCAGAAACACAATTCAAATCAGCTCTCAGGCAGCAGGATATGGTGGATACTATTCTGTATTTGGCAAAAGTAAGTTGGAATTTACAATTGAAAACTTGTCAATTCATATCAGTGATTTCCTTTGTATTAATTTCTGGAAAAGTATCTGTGGTAGGCTGTCTCAGTATGTTGGCAGAATGAAAAAAGCAGAAGGGAAAAATCCACTTCCTTCAATACAAGGAGTGACATATTGTGTTCTCTGTATTTGTACATATCCCCATTAATGACATCATAAGTAAACAGATACCTGTTGTAGCTGACACTGTTGGAAGAGGATCCTATCACAAACCTAGATGCCAGTTGTATTCCTGTATCTACACTGGCAGCAGCATCTTGGGTCCCAACCAGATTACCCACTACATCAGAGGTCTGTTTGCTTATGCATACTCTAACATTATTAATTCCGTCTTCTGCCAGTACTGCCCATCTGCTTTCTACAGAGGACAAACAGGACAATCCCTGCACAAAAGAATGAATGGACACAAACCTGACATCAGAAATGGCAACACAGAAAAAGTTTGATAGTTCCAATCCTGTGTTAACAAACCATTATCACTTTGTCTGTTATCTATATCCTTACTTGGTTGCAAGGGCATGTATAAATATAGAGGACATAGTGGCCAATATATTAATGTTTTGAAATTGTAATCTGAAACTGTAATGAAAGCAGAAGTGAAGCACTTGGATTTGCAGTTAGATATATGCAAAGTTTCACTATCTTAATTCAGAGCCCACATAAGTGAACTGGATGAAGTCCTGGTTGGTTTGAACCAATTCAGACTTGATCTAACTTGACTTGCATTCAAATCTATATAAAAATTCAGAAATCCAAAATTCAGCTGTTCTCGTTTTTGCTGTAAGTAGCAACCTTCAAAGATCCCTTCTGGCTGAATATTTAGTTCTTCCACTACAAATTGTAGCTTGTAGTGTTCCAGCCACAGTTGAAGATATTATAGATAATAGAAACATAGAATAATTGAGGTGGAAGGGACCTATAAGGCCATCGAGTCCAACCCCCTAAGTGCAGGAATCTGCAGCACTTAGATCTGACAGATGGTTGTCGAATTTTCTCTTGAATGTCTCTGTCATTGGAGTGCTCACCATCTCCCAGAGTAATTGATTCAATTGTCATACTCCTCTAAGAGTTATGATTTTCCTGATATTCACCCAAAATCTGGCTCCCTGTAACTTGAGTCCATTATTACATGTCCTGCACCCTTCTCTATCTTTCAAGTATTTGAAAAGTAGTATAATATCTCCCCTCGGTTTTCTTTCGTTGAGGCCAAACATGACCAGTTTTTTCAGTTTTTTGTCATAAGGCTTGGCTTCCAGTCCCCTGATCATCCTTGTTGCCTTGCTTTGAACCTCTTCCAGTTTGTTGACATCCTTCTTAGAGGGAGTTGTCCAGAACTCGACACGGTACTCTATATATGGCTTAACCTATGCTGAATAGAGCCTTTCCAAAACATTTCATGTTGAGCTAATTTTAAAAGAAAACTATGATTAAGTCAAGAAATTGTTGAGAAACTACCATCTAGTAATCTCTCTTCATGTGTAAACCAGTCACTGAAATTCTTTATGGAAAAATGTGGCTATGGAAAATGGTTGAAAACAGACATAGGTTCTGATATTGACATGAATGGACACAGTGCAGATATTTCATCAACGTTTCAGTGCAGACATTATAAAAAGTTTATGGTGAATGTTTTGAAGGCTGAAATGTGGCACTAGCCTTTAGAAAGTTTCAGTGCAGACATTATAAAAAGTTTATAAAGAGAACTGTATGGTGAATGTTTTGAAGGCTGCAATGTGGCACTAGCCTTTAGAAGTGAGAGCTTGTAGAAGTAGATTGCTGTATGTAAACTACTTAAAATGATGCTCTGTATTGGTACTATAACTTCAATATGGACAATGCCTTAACAGCTGTAAAAACATTTAACCAATTTCATTTATTTATTCTGTCCAATAAACAGTTACTTCTGGAACTGGCAAATTGATGGCCTTATAGACTCCTTTCCAACTTTACTATTCTGTGATTCTATTGCAACAGTCCTTGTATTTTTATTTCTGTCACTCTTTATGGAGACATATTTCAAGCTATACTGTAGCTGTTAGTCAAGTAATTTTTGTAAAAGGTATGATTCAGCTGATCTAAGTTGTCTTTTCAAGGGGGACTATCATGTTTCAGAGCAAAATACTGTAATTACCTGCATGAAGAGAATGCACTATTGTAGTCTTAGCAATCTGAGTCCTTACTTTTCAAGTTAGGTACAATTTGTACTATTTTTCGCTATGCTTTGTTGTTCTGTTATATCAAATGAGAACACTAGTGACAGCTGGCTTTCCATTTTGTATGGTGTGACAACAGTAGACTATTTATCATATTGCTTCACAGATCTCACTGGGCTGTGCTCTTGAAGAAATATATCAACATCATGCAATCAGTGATGACACTGAAAACATGGCTTGGGTTTTCAGTGTGCACAGCTCGGAGGTTATGCCATTTGGCTGCCTGACAAATATCAGATGAGTCTGGTCTCACAGTGTGGAAGAGCAAACACTGTCTCAGTTGTGTTTGACAAGTTGAAGCCATGACATTTGGCTGGTGCAACCCAGTAGACTGTGGACATGTTAGAAGCAAAACAAAGCTGCCGCCCAAAATCTCAGATCAGCAATATGTTGACTTTCTCTTTTCCTCACCCCTAATGTTTACTACAGCCTCCCATCAGCTTGCACATTCTCCCTTCCCCCACATGGCCTTGAGAAGGATTTCAGTTTAGATTGATTGCAGTTTAGTATCTTACAGAGACCTAAACAACACCATCCAGCTTCATAAATTATACTTTACAAGTTATGCCTATTGATGCCACTTGACCTGTCTTTTGCTCAGGTGTATTCCCGCTTGGATCAGCCTTTGACAGCCCTAAACGTGTTTAAGCAAGGACTCGAGCATTTTCCTGGAGAAGTTTCTCTCATTTGTGGTATTGCCAGGATCCACGAGGTAGGCAAACCAAGCTTCTGTCTTGAACCAAGAGGGCATGTATAATTTCCTGAAAAAGTGAAATCACTGATTTTCAGCATGTGCTAATGCAAATGAGGCAGGGTGGGAGGAACACAAGACCAAACCCAGTTGGCCTATTCTTAATTTATTCTGGAATATAGACAAATAGCAAATTGCCGTGTATAAAATCAGATTATCTGTGTGCTTACACTGACTGTAAGTAGCCCTCTATTATTTCAGATAGCAGATGCCCGAGACGACATGAGCCTTTTAAATGCAAAGCATGTACTGTGTGACTGAGGCCCTGGTCACACGAGAGCCCTCTATTATTTCAGATAGCAGATGCCCAAGACAAGATGAGCCTTTTGAATGCAAAGCATGTACTGTGCGGCTGAGGCCCTGGTCACACGAGGGAAATGTTTCTAATACTTCCGATACTTTCCATGCTTCTGTTGTACTGAATCGTGGTCCCAGGATGAACATCCCAAGAACTTTTAGCAGTACCGATTAATTTCCTCATGTTTGAATCATTATGACTAGCTACACCATGCTACTGGTTTATTTCCTCTCTTGCTTCAAGGAGCAATTTAGCCCCTTGATTTATATATATTAAATTTAATAATAATAGTTATCGACGTATCAGGAATAAGGTTCCCTTAAAGGTGAGCATGCGTGACTCCTCCCACTCTGCATAGCTTTCCTCCTCCCCCGTGCACCCACAGCTATCATTTCCAGCCCCTTTTGTTCTGTTTGCAATGGAACCCCATGCAGGGAAGGCAGACTCGCGCACAGGGAGGTGGAGCCCTGCTGAAAATTTGAGAGAACATTTATTGGAAAGGGCTTTCTGTTTAGGAAAGTGTCTTCTGTTGCACTGGCTGCTCCTGCAGAAATGCATTGCACACGGACATGGGATATCCACGCTGCAGTGCCAGCAATCACCGCAAACCCCCCCCGGTGACATTGGCAGACCAACAGTTCACTGTATCTTCCCGTATACAGTGGTGCCTCGCTTGATGAAGATAATCCGTTCCAGCAAAATCGCTGTAGAACGAAATCCTCGTCAAGCGAAAATAAAAAACCCATTGAAATGCATTGAAAACCGGTTCAATGTGTTCCAATGGGCTAAATACCTAATCGTCCAGTGAAGATCCTCCATAGGGCAGCCATTTTCCGGTGCCTGTAAAGCAAAAAATGCCTCCTAAAAACAGCG